AGAGAGAGAGAGAGAGAGAGAGAGAGAGACTTAAATTGTTGTTGAAATTATGAATTGTGTGCCAATAGTTGAGAAACCGGTGGCTTTTCTGATCAATTTCGATAACTACACGATTACTCCCATTTCGGGCGGTTTTGACTCATATTTTGCGGACGAATGCGTCCGATATCTAAACGTAACGTTTCCGCCGAAGTATACGCGAGAGTCGAGACAATTGGTGGCCGTTATGCTCGCGGAGGACAACGGCGATAGTTCTCAACCTCCGAACGGAAGTATCGCTATATTTAGACGCATAGACCCGAACACCAATACATTCCTCGACAGCCATTATCTGAGCGAAGACTGTGAAGGCGTTAGAGCTCACTATGATTTAGGCAATAATCACGATATAGTATCGCTTATCAAATACAATAAAATCTATACGAATGACTCGTGGAGAGTGTGGGGTTGTGGCCACTTCTGTACACTTAAAACACCGTTATATGAAATCATAATCCAAACTACCAAGATTGATACTATCAGTGCGATCGTGAAATATGAGTTGTATAGTGTAGACGAGGTAAAAAGTTATTTTACATTCGCGATGCTATTTGTTGTTGTATTTTAGTCAGTATTTTATTTGCATTATAACGCTATTTGTTTTAAGGATATGACTCACGACCTGTTTCTGCGGTGCGACGAACGCCGGGCGCCGTTCACTCCGTTTGACTTTTGCGACCAAAAGTACGATTTCGATAATATATTGAGTTTGGGATCCGATCTATACTTTCAGCGAAGCACTAGTTTTTGGCGATTAAAAGATTATGGATTTACTGCCGACTCGTATCCGACGGGTTCTCCACTCAATGGGCAAAACATTCAAAATCTGGTTTTCGACTCACACTTCGGCCCATTCCTCGAGACCGAAGGCTTTGGTCTGTGTTTTCAATAGACTATTTAATTTTCAAAATGCATTCATTAATTGTGTTTCTAATGATATCAATGACTCCCTCACAGACACGAGTCAACGGGTGTTTGGCTTCTCATACAAATCGATCGATCGGTTCCCGTGCGGGCACTTTACCGCTGACGCCGATTACGACCAGTGTGTGGACAAGTATACAAAGTCGCCGTACTTTCACAGCGTGTGTTTGTACGGCACGGCTGGTCGGAAGGGCACAGGCGTACCCGTGTTTGGCAAAGAGAACGGGTATTACAAGTCATACATTCACACACCGGGAGGTCTGGAGCGGCCGATCATCAAAGATGGTGACCGACACCGAGAGTTGTGCCGAGTCATCTCCTGTTACGTGCGGTTCAAAGAGAAATACAACGGCACCGGATTCGGTGTCACACATATCACGGGCTATCAGTCCGGGGGACGCAACCAGATATTGATCGCCCAAACCTTAGCCGAATTCAAGGGCGCGCCGAACACCCATCTAATGGACACATTCTTTGCCGTGTATTCAATGAGTTTTGAGTATTTCCATATCCATTACCGCTATTCATTGGATTATCAAACATTTGACCGGATGCTAAACGCCACCCGCAAGTTGTACTACATACCAGCCCACCATGATAACTTTACAATGCACTCACTCTTCCGATACAAACATGTTTCCTACTGTTTGGTTGGCAACGGGCGGCCGCACACCCGATATCTATACAATGAGGACTTTCAACGCAAACCCCCGCCGGTATGTCTGCCCCCAAAGTGTTGCCACAAAACGTCTTTTAATATGTTGTATGCTTTTATTGCCATATATTTAGGACTCCCCAAAATACTCGATCATTTTAATGGTATTTATAATTTATAAATCATTTTTAATGTTTATTTTGAGCAACAATTTTCATAAAACAAAACTGCATTTAAATCACTATTGAATTGAATAGTTTAGCGCAACCAATCAGATAAAGTGGTCAACAGTGGTCACGTGTCCCATAGAAATGATGAGATATTCAGTGGTCAGTAACTACCGGGAGGGCCAGCTCTGCTTCGAGAAACCCACATATAATATACATCAGAGTGTGTTCAACATCGGTCCCGCACTATACCATCAAACGGGCCGTCATTTCTATTATTACGATATAATCAGAAAAAAATTTATTTTTGACAGACATGTGACCGAACTATTGGCCACTTATTTTGGTAATCAAACTTTAAATTACAAAATATATATAAAAATAACAATCAATTAATATTAATAATCAATTCAATTGGCAGACACTCGACATCGTGTGACCGGGCATTCAATCGAATGGCCAACAGCTCTGGGTTTTTATCATGTGATAATTCACGGCAGGAGTAGTTACGCGTATCTACCGTTAGGCGAATACATTTTCGGACTATTTATGTATGTCTACAAAGACAAAGACACGAAGACATTGATGCCAGTCGTCAAACCCAGTGACTACTTGTCCGGTACAGCCGTCACCCGATTGCTGTTCTCACTGGGCCCGCACCGGTACGATGGCCTGTTTGACCATCAGCTGGTATTGTTCGCCTGGCAGTTGACACGGATCGAGATGTATCAAATCGTCACCACGTTCCCGGACAAGAATGACCACAATGTGACCATGGTGGTCCATCACGACCACGCACAGTGGGTCGATGCAAAACAGGTATTGTTCCCATTCATCGCTTCTAGTATATCGAAAGCAGCCAATTGGTACTACCAGGACATGTGCCCGTTTGCCAAATTCATTGGCGCTTACTTTGATTACGACAACATCACCAAACAAAGAGGCGCTTATTTAGTGGCAACCGATAACAAGAGCGATACTCTCTATCTGTTCAATATGTTAGAATGGAATCGCAAACCATATATTGAAATCGATTCGATGTATAATTTCAAGGTTTGTCCGCCGAATGAAACAACAATTGTATTGTAATTATTATAATTGTATTTTTTTTTTACTTATTTACTTATACCAGAAAACCTTGTGGTCATACTTCACCACATATTGTCCAATGAGAGGTCCAAACGATTATGATTTTACCGGAAGTATATTTGCCTCAAATGAAACAAAACCTTCAAAAACATTGACTTATATTTTGGCAATAGTTTTGCAAAATAGGAAATCAGTTATTGTTTGGTCTTTTTGTTGGTCTGACTGTTGTTT